AAGACGAGATACAATCAGTTTACACTGTCTTCTGTATGGTTCACGGAGACACCACGCAAAAACAAATAATATATTTTAGATATCAAACCAAATGACTAGTGTTGTAAGTTGTGCCCACCCCGAAGCAGCGTGGAACGACATCCGTAAAGCTGTGGGAACAGCAGTGATATCCGCCAGTAAGGTAAGCCATAAGGTCAGGGAGAAATAATGGATCTCGGCAGCATCTACCACACTGATAGATGCTCGAAAACTCATCCCATCTGGCTCTGAACATAACGAAAAGCGGAGTCAACTTAAGCGCAAGCTAATAAAAAGCCTACGCAATGATCGTGAACAGTGGTGGGTAGCGAAAGCAAGAGAGATGGAAAAGGCAGCGGCAATAGGTAACAGCACACAGCTATTCAGACTCGTTAAAGAAACCGGTATCAGGAACACAAATATCAGTGAAACCATCTCAGATAAAGATGGACATATCATTCATTCTCAATCCAGGAGATTGGATCGATGGGCAGAACACTTTAGGGATCAGTTCAACTGGCCTTCAGCCACACTTCAATTACCCACGATCCCCAGTCGTCCTGAATGGCAAATTGAGGTAAGTCCTCCAACTCTCTACGAGGTTAAAAAAGATATAGGAAATCTAAAGCGAAGGAGAGCCGCAGGCCCTGACAAGTTGACCCCTGAGATTTTTTAGGATGGTGGTCCAGTACTAGCAACGAGATTAACTGAGGTCTTAGGTAGAATCTGGGAACTGGACGTAATTCCATCTGACTGGTCCCAATCACTGATTGTGCCAGTCTATAAGAAAGGACAAAAGTCCTCCGGTGACAATCACAGAGGAATCAGTTTGACTAATATAGTGTCTAAAATATTATCTTTAATAATACTAGGTCGCCTAACCAAAGCTCGTGAAGAGCAGACTAGAGAAAACCAGGCTGGTTTTCGACCTGGACGTGGTTGTATAGACCAGATATTCACTCTACGTCAGGTCCTAGAGCATAGACATACATTCAGACGTCCCACAATAGTAGTATTTCTTGACCTTAAGGCGGCATTTGACTCCGTTGATCGTGAGGTTCTATGGCAGTGTTTGTCGGTGAAAGGAGTACCAAAGAAATACATTAACCTCATAAAGGCTCTCTACTCGAACACAACTGGTCGAGTTAGAGCCTATGGCGAACTGTCATTAGAATTGGTTACCTCAAGTGGTGTTCGTATGGGCTGTCCACTCTCCCCATTCTTGTTTAACTTTGTCGTTGACATGGTTTTAGAGATATCACTTTGCTCATCTCAATCTCCTGGAGTTGAACTTTTACCAGGAGGCTCACTTGTTGACTTAGAATACGCCGACGACATAGTTTTATTCGGTGAAGACGCTGACAAAATGCAGAGTCTTCTGACCACTATAGGCAACTATGCAGGCATGTTCGGGATGCGATTCTCCCCCTCGAAGTGCAAAATGTTACTTCAGGATTGGGTTGCATCGACACCTGAACTAATGATAGGGAGTGAAGTAGTTGAGCGTGTTGACTGCTTCACTTATCTTGAGAGTCTCATCGGCTCTTGTGGTCTGGTGTGTGACGAAATCTCAGCACGGATACAGAAGACTCGTCTAGCTTTCGCCAACTTGCGTCATTTATGGCGTAGGCGAGATATCCGTCTAGCAACAAAAGGACGGGTTTACTGTGCAGCAGTTCGTTCCGTCCTACTTTATGGCAGTGAAACATGGCCGATAAGAGTGGAGGATATTCGTAGGCTACTAGTATTCGATCATGGGTGTCTCCGAAACATTGCTCGTATATCCTGGGACCACCGGGTAAGTAATGCAGGTGTTAGGAAACGGGTACTAGGTAAGGATGGCAAATCGATTGATGAAGTAGTGAAACTTCATCAGTTGAGATGGCTGGGATATGTGTTACGTATGTCAAACCACCGACTGCCCAGACGTGCAATGCTTTATGGTGTAGGACCAGGTCGGAAGAAAGCTAGGGGCGGCCAGACCAAAACGTGACACAAATCCATGAAGTCGCTGACAAGTGAACTGGACCGTGTTGGTAGGTGTAGACTACCTGGTTGGGATTCGCGAGATGATAGCAACCGATGGTTAGAGACCTTGAATGACATGACTCAAAATCGTTTGCAATGGAGAAGGTGCATACACTCTTTGTGTTCTACCAAATTCTAATCTTCTGAATTCTTCGTGTCCGTATCCTTTTTCTCTTTCCAAATTTATTTCACCGTATTATACTCCTTCAATAACATCTTCAAACCCTTATCTTTCACATAATACTTATACTCTTACTACTTCTACCAATATGGGATTTGAATCGACAACTTCATCTCTGTGCTAATGTGGTATGGCAACTCGAACTGATGTACGTACGTACGAAGTTCTACGTTGTAACTGGCTGACTGACTGTTGTAAGAAATGCTGAGTGTTTTATTGTAAAAATGTAAATGAACATGATTTCGGACTGAAGTGAAAAGTGCTTTTTCTGTACAAACTTCTCAAACGATGTCAAAAGCACAACCGAAAACTATTTTTCATTATACTTTCCTCTTCAAAAGACGTTATTGTAAGGGACAAGTTCTTGAAGTATACTGAATAAAACACAGTACACTATTGAATAAAAGCCTATAACAGATAGTTGTAGCCACGAATGTATGCCTACTCCACAAGTTCCTTTTTATCGTGTATGCAACAATTCATAAAAATCAGCTAGATTTACATTTAAAAAATTAAACCAGAAATTATACCTGGCCACTTGATGCAGTAGTCAGGTTTAATTACTACCCGACCCACCCGAGCTACACTGACTGGAACGCTTGTTCATTGAGGTTCAACCACGTGAGGAAAGGTGACTGGATTGTGATGAAATCAAGAGCACTGATTCTCGCAGTATGGGGAATAGCACTGTGAGGGGGACCAGGAGAAAAGTCATACTTTATCTACTATCTATTTAAAATATAAACTTGGTACATATACGGCACCAAAACATGACACAGAATAACTATATGGGAGATAAAGAAATAGAAGCCATTGCATTTTATTGATGATCTGGATAATCTGACGTCAAAAGAGACTTACTCAAACTTTGTCACGTAATATTCTTAGAATTTGTCTTGCTAGTTATGCGGAGAATTATTAATGTTCTAAGCACCAATATTATCAATGGCTTCGGTTTTGAAGTACATTTGACCGGTGCTCTTGAGCCCCTCAATTTCTCAAAACCCGGTGAGGAAATATGTACTAGTTATCACAGATCGTCTTCACTCTATGGCAGTAAATAATCGTAATAAACATTTCTTATTATTATTTACTGCCAGAGATTGAAGACAATCTGTGATAACTAGTACATATTTCCTGACCGAGTTTTGAGAAATTGCGCGGCTCAAGAGTCCCAATCAAACAAACTTCAAAACCCAAGCCATCGATTACCATAGATTTCGTGCACTCAACGGCAATACATAATCTGATTTCTTTAATTTTATCGACCTAGGGGTAACCCGTCTAAAACAAAATCAAACTATTAAATCCTACATTCCTCAGAGGTGTCGGTTACAGGTACTAAAACCACTTCAGCAAATAAAGGCACTACAAATATATATGTGAAATGAATTCAATCTCCCTCTCGCTACACTCTCCTCATTATTATCATCAAATAAAGAGTTAGTACCAATAGAGCTCCGGCCTTTAAAGTCACGAACATAAATTAAAAATGTGACCGTACAAATTCTGAGTTATAAAGACCATGAAACTAATCTAACTAAAACTGATATAGTACTATGTAACTCTTAAGCTTCTCTATACGATCGAAATAGATTCATTTCTTTATTTTTCTAGAGCAACGTGAAACACCATTTCACATGGTTTCTGATGACCCACCAACTTATGTACGCAAATAAATGAAACTGAAGCTGCAACTAGCTGAAAAGCAAAACATTGAATTCACACTTCGGCAGCAATCATCATTAAGTTTTGTCATACAGTCCAACAGCTTAGCAAATTATGAAGGTTTAGGAAATATATCAGTAAAATATTGTTGACCTCGAAAGGCTGGTACTTTCATCTGACAATATAACCCTGACGCGCGATCCTTTCTTGAAGTGTGACTGGGGCTGTCTTGTTTAGAAAGCCGTCTGAAAGTAAGAAATAGTTCCCACATAATTGACAGGTGTTCATATTGCCACCCCAAACGCGCAAAACATTTTGAAGAGAGAATCGACTCAAAAGTCATTGATATGCAGCTGACACCTGTCTTATCTAGATATACAGAAAAACTACACTATTGGGAATACGAGTACAGATATTCAAAAACATGTAAAACAAGCTCTAGGAAGTCATTTAATCTACGGTCCATCCTTACGTACTGATGTAAAATACATCATCCTAATGTTTTAAGTAAAATGTTGGAGAAAACACTAACAATACAGATCAATTGGCATTATTTTCATTACTATAAATAATGGTCAATGATATAGGTTAAGATTTTGGAGCCACATGAAAGATGTAGCAGTTTATCAAATAAGCTAACTCTAGGAGCTGTATTTGAAGAAACTTAAGTGATACAGTTCGAAATCAACCTCAGCCTACATAGCCATTCTCTTTAATATTCTGACAACTTAATGTTCTCGTACTTTTAGTCTTGTATCTATAACATTTTTCTGCACCTGTAATATCTATGATAGAAACTACGTAAGCGTAACAACATATAGGATAATCCTAGATCAATCTCAAGTAAACCACTTATGAAATTAGTACATATATCCAAAAGACCACGGATTGAAGAAACAGCTGGAGTAACGAAACAATTTGATGATGGAAACTAAAGAGTAATACGACTCCTTAAGATAATTACTATATGAAGACCCACATTATTGCTATCCTACAAACAAAATGTTACAATATGAGTAAAATACATAAATACGTCAGTTAGACCATCGTGTATGGAATTTGAAGAGGACTAAATTTTACAGTGATACACACACAGTTAACTTACTGTTCACGTTTGAACTGTAACGAGTGAACAATTTCCGGATTCTTTTGGCGTATGTTCCACAAGTGTGCAACGTCGTCACCACAAATGGAGACCAACCCACCCTTGAAATGATATTGAAATAAGTAAAATCCCTATTTTAGATAAACGAGACTTAAAATTACTGTTTTATAATACAATTTAAAGTTTTATCTCATTTCCAACTAACGTAACAGTATGATCGTAATTAAATGGACCGATACTGAAAGGGACACCACCACTTATTTCAAACTATTTATTTGTTTGAAAACATAAATATTGGTACAAGGAAGCACCAGATACATATGCGCCACACAAATCTTATTTGATTTATGTGAGGGCTGAGATACTGTCCGGGTGTCCAGACCGAAGCAGGTGTTTTTCTGAGGGGGTCACACCCGAGCCTTCGAACTAAAGGTCTGATCCACAAGGCAGTGGAGCATTGTGATGAGATGCAGTCTCATAGTAGCCGGTGACCAACAACTGGTTCATACGCCATTTCTTCTTTCAGGATACTGGAGCCCATGTGCACCATTGGTTTGGAATCAAGGCTTTCCAACTCCCCTAGGTGGACTTTCCGTGTTCACCGACCCGGTTGAACCGCCGGACGATCGCTTTTCGTCCTCTCACTTTCGTGAACAACACCCCCGCCACGAGAAGGCAGTGAGTAGGACTTCCCTGGCAGAGGCTGTATACGCGTGTCCGTGTGACCTTGATGCTGCCACTGAGATCTATGGGCTAAACTACGGGTCTTAAAAGACTACTTGGGTCATGAAGACAAGGTGCGCGAACAATTTATGTTTTAAGACGTAGAACTTGGCTGGTGTTGCTTCGTAGGCTGCGGTTTTCATTAACGCTTCGTTATATATGCTAAAAAGAGCATAACGTATAAAATGTTGGCTACCTTCAGTCGAATTTTTCACATTCAGCAACGTGGTTTATGATATTTACATGGAAGTTGAATAAGAGTTAAGGATAAGTTATCTTTTATCAACATATTTAAAAGGTGAAAGCTTGTTTACGTAGAATCATAGATCTAGGTAGTTCCAGAAACACATACCAAACGCATATAAGGCCGTAGGCTAAGTATTACTATTGTCTAAAATATATGCAGCTTATGTTTTTACACAAAATTTAGAATTCCGTACACAATGTTTATGTAAAACGTCCCGTGACGGTAAGGTATGGTTTGTGCATTGAATGTGACTTACCTCGTTGACGAGAAAAAAAATTTGAAGGACAGCAGATGCTGAAGGATGACAGATGCTGCAGTCTACACCTGGTTTTCCGAAACTATCCCAAGCCTGAAAAAATATGTGAACAACTTACATTCGGATGAACCCAGACTTCGTTCCAACAGCAACAATCCGTTGCACAGGATCAAAAGCGATGCAAGTCGGTTGATAGGGAAAACCATGTACAGAAATCTGAAAATAAAAAGCGATACGAAACGAGTATGAGAAAATCATTTCCATTCAGAAAATAAACACCTACCTTCCCAACTTGAAAATGTTCACTCTTCAAATACTCGTCGATTTCAATGGCTGACTTTGGTGAGGAATTTGGCTGAGACGAGCTAATATTCCAAGAACGTATTCCATCTATAACTTTCAGTAACCTTTTTGACTTTGCTGCCATAAGGTCTAAATCTCAGTGGTCTACACTCCTGGGATTCGACATCACTTAAAAACCTAGGCGCTGACGGAGACCCTTAAAACTGTACAACTAATTAGTGGACTTAAACAAACTACGTGAGCACAGCAAGACAGAGGTTTTGAAAACGTCCTCAAGGGTTTTTCTGTAATAAGAATAGTCTTATGAGCTGATCAATTTTAAAACATTGACAAAACACTTTCTCTCTAAAAAAGATAGAAAAGAGACATTATTTAAAAGCGAAGTTTCATTGTGTGAGAAACACTGTGACCCTGATGTAGTTATTTATAAGATGCAGCTCAAAGTAAGTTTCGAATATTTCCACGTATGCTGTTACTTTTTTGGTCAACATCAGACACAAAACGAAAATTCCAGCGAACAACTAAAGCAATCAATCAGATTCATGCGTTCAAGAGGTACGTGTTGTGACTGTAAATAATTCCCCAAAATCAGTGGCTCATTAAGTGTTCGACATTGGATGCTGACCACGTTGTTTAAGTGGACTTGTTTAGCTGAAGGCTTTCGGTCATGCATCCGTACCAGATCACGTTTCAACACGGCGTGGGACACAGCTCCTACGTTACAATTGCCAGTTAAGAACGAAGTCACTCAATATATTGGTAACAAATCAAATATATCTCTCCTACCTCTCCTCGTCTGACTTCTGGTTTCTATTCGACTGGGAACGAACGATTATAGAAGATACTACTGGTTGCTAGTTGCAAAACTAGAATATCCGTTGTATCCTCATTGGTGAGCCTAACGTGATCTGGTACGCCAAGCCAATATACTGTGAGTCTGTTCCATTTTGGAATATTATTATTCATTGTTATTCTTTATTTGAATTTTATATATTGTGATATACTGTTTTTTCGCGAATTTTTCGCCCGGATATATTTTAATTAAACATTTTTCGTTATCTATATTACTATGACGGAACACTCTCCTAAGGTTTTTTAGTTAAAGTCTATTCCCCCTATTTCGATTCAGTTAACGCCATTTTGGCCCGACAATATCGAGTCCTGGTTCTGCTACGCAGAAGCTGATTTTTGCATGCACGGAATCACGGACTTGCGCACACGTTTCCTCGCGGTAGTTAAGGCGTTACCGCGCGAATTTAACAGGTACGTAACACCTAGTATGTTTACTAGTGATGTTCCGGAACCTTACGAAACTCTCAAACGGTCGATTTTAAAACGCGGAGACCTAACTGATCGACAACGGTTAGACCAACTTCTCCATAACATCGACTTGCAACATGGTTCTGTGACAGACATGTTGCTAAGAATGAGAGAGGTTATCGGTCAACGAACTTTCGATGATGGCCTATTTAGACAACTTTACTTGTCTAAACTTCCTCAACAGGTGCAGGCAGAGCTCGTCTCGTTTCAAAACAATGCCATAGACGAGCTGGCTGCATCTGCCGACCGAATCTTAGAAATCACTAAATCTTCTAAGGCCGAGGTATTTCCGTCAAAGAAAAAACCTCAATCTACCCCGCCTGACAAAACTGAACTATGTCACACGCTTACACGATATCTTAGAAGTCGTAATGACAGCAGTCGGTAAAAAACCCCGCGTAGAAGTGTCTCACGTAAGCGATCTGGCTCTCGACCACGAGAGACAGACAATCCCGACTGGTGCTGGTATCATAATCAGTACGGTAAGTCTTCCAGAAATTGAAAGAAACCTTGCAATTATCCGACCTCAAAATCGACTGACACGAATAAGATTTCGGGAAACTTCCCAGCCGGCACGCGTTAACGGCAACTGTAGCCGGCGAACACAGCCGCCTCATATATGTCACGGATGTGACCACGAAAGTTCGCTACCTCGTCGACACTGGCGCAGAAGTTAGCGTTCTTTCAGCTGATTCCAACGACAGACATCGCGAGTCTGTTTTAAGTTGACAGGCGGCAAACGGAAAACCGATCGCTACTTACGGTAAAAGGTACGTCTACATTAACGTGGGTTTACGCAAACCCATACACTGGATTTTCGTTGTTGCAAATGTCTCCATGCCAATCATTGGTATAGACCTGTTACAACACCACAATCTACTCATCGACACACGCTCACGAAGGTTGATAGACGGAAACACTAAGTTATCCGTTTGCGTAACTCCTTGTTCCGGTTGCAGGTTATCCCCAGTCACGATTAAGCACACCATAGACCCATTGTACCAATCAGTACTCGACAAATACCCCGGGATATACCAATCGCAATCGAAATTGCCTTGTGTAACCAGCAATGTTACACATCACATCTCGACTACAGGACCACCTGTATTCTCGAAAGCCCGTCGACTCGCTCCCGAAAAACTTAGGTTAGCCAAAAACGAATTCGACCATATGATAGACTTAGGTGTAATTCGACCATCGAATAGTCCATGGTCATCCCCATTGCACATGGTCCCTAAAAAGGACAGCAATGATTGGCTGCCAACTGGTGATTATCGGCGTCTGAATGCAAAAACCATTCCCGATCGTTACCCATTGCCTCATATTCACGATTTGACAGCTACCTTGAAAGGTACAACTGTCTTTTCAAAACTCGACTTAGTTAAGGCCTATAACCAAATCCCGATGGCACCTGACGACGTTCCTAAAACCGCCATCATCACTCCCTTCGGTCTTTACGAATTTCTACGAATGCCTTTTGGTTTAAGAAACGCGGCTCAAACCTTCCAAAGGTTTATAGACGACGTCTTTCGAGGTCTCAACTTCGTACATGCGTATGTTGATGACTGTCTAATAGCAAGTCCAGACAGAGAATCGCATCTCAAGCATCTGGACATTGTTTTCGATCGACTCCAAAGGCATGGCATTACTGTCAACATTCAGAAATGCCAAATCGGAACTAACTCCTTAGACTTCTTAGGACACACTATTGATGCCCAGGGCATCCGACCCCTTAGGAGCAAAGTGGCGGCCATTCTAGATTACCCAGAACCGACCACGATCAAGCAGTTACGAACTTTCAACGGACTTGTAAGTTTCTATAGACGGTTCATACCCAAATGCGCATCCCTTATAAAACCGTTAACGGATCAGCTTCGTGGAAATGCGAAATCAATTAGTTTAGACGACATAGCCCGCAAAGCATTCTCCACAGTTAAGGAAAACATCGCTAAAGCAACCTTGCTTGCTCATCAGGACACTCAAGCGCCCATTATTATCGCCGTAGACGCATCCGACTCAGCAATCGGAGGAGTCTTACAACAATGGGTTAACAACTCGTGGCAACCCTTAGGATTTTTCTCCAGACGGTTGTTAGACGCGGAATCTAGGTACAGCACGTTCGGTAGGGAGCTACTAGCTATGTATTGTGCTGTACGGCATTACCAACATTCCATCGAAGGAAGAGAACTCATGCTTCTTACCGATCACAAACCTCCTACCTTCTCTTTAAGTTCATCTTCAGACAAGTACTCACCGCGAGAGTCTCGACAACTCGGTTACATTTCGCAGTTTACTTCTGACATACAACACATTTCTGGAGCAAACAATGTAGTCGCAGACGCCTTGTCTCGAATAAGTTCCTTGAACAGTTTCCAAGGAATCGACCTTCTTAAACTCGCTCAGCTTCAAAAAGAAGACATTGATCTTCAGCATGAGTTATCCTCGACAACTCTTAAACTAAGTATTAAGCAGATGGGAACAGGTAAGGAAACCTTACTCTGTGACACATCTACAGGTAGGGATCGTCCAATAGTACCAAAACATTATCGACGCAACGTCTTCAATACGTTGCACAATCTTTCTCACCCAGGTGCTCGTGCAACAGTCAAACTTATAGTCGAACGCTTTTGTTGGCCTGGCATGAATAAAGACGTGAGGGAGTGGGCACGCTCCTGTGTAAGCTGCCAGAAATCTAAGGTCATAAGACACAACAAATGTCCCTTAGGCTCTTTCAAAACCCCTGACGCTCGTTTCGACCACGTCCATCTAGATTTGGTAGGACCCTTACCCGACTTAAACGGATGCTCATATCTCTTAACATGTGTAGACCATTTTACTCGATGACCAGAAGCAGTACCGATTAAGGACATTACTGTTTTAAGTTTACAGGCGGCAAACGGAAAACCGATCGCTACTTACGGTAAAAGGTACGTCTACATTAACGTGGGTTTACGCAAACCCATACACTGGATTTTCGTTGTTGCAAATGTCTCCATGCCAATCATTGGTATAGACCTGTTACAACACCACAATCTACTCATCGACACACGCTCACGAAGGTTGATAGACGGAAACACTAAGTTATCCGTTTGCGTAACTCCTTGTTCCGGTTGCAGGTTATCCCCAGTCACGATTAAGCACACCATAGACCCATTGTACCAATCAGTACTCGACAAATACCCCGGGATATACCAATCGCAATCGAAATTGCCTTGTGTAACCAGCAATGTTACACATCACATCTCGACTACAGGACCACCTGTATTCTCGAAAGCCCGTCGACTCGCTCCCGAAAAACTTAGGTTAGCCAAAAACGAATTCGACCATATGATAGACTTAGGTGTAATTCGACCATCGAATAGTCCATGGTCATCCCCATTGCACATGGTCCCTAAAAAGGACAGCAATGATTGGCTGCCAACTGGTGATTATCGGCGTCTGAATGCAAAAACCATTCCCGATCGTTACCCATTGCCTCATATTCACGATTTGACAGCTACCTTGAAAGGTACAACTGTCTTTTCAAAACTCGACTTAGTTAAGGCCTATAACCAAATCCCGATGGCACCTGACGACGTTCCTAAAACCGCCATCATCACTCCCTTCGGTCTTTACGAATTTCTACGAATGCCTTTTGGTTTAAGAAACGCGGCTCAAACCTTCCAAAGGTTTATAGACGACGTCTTTCGAGGTCTCAACTTCGTACATGCGTATGTTGATGACTGTCTAATAGCAAGTCCAGACAGAGAATCGCATCTCAAGCATCTGGACATTGTTTTCGATCGACTCCAAAGGCATGGCATT